CCCCATTCAAAGAAGGCTAAATGAAAATCATCCCCATTTGCCAGAGTTGTGTAAACAATATTTGAAAATTAAGTCAAATCTCTACTTTGCCTGAAGCTGAGGCATCCAAGACAGTTTACACTAGGTTTAAAACCCTAACTATTGGTGATCCTATCTCCTTCTGAAACAGTGCAGTACTCACTGTAGCTCTGTGGTCTAAAGATGGTTTTAAGACGGATGCTCTTCAGAAGAAATAGAAAAAAAAAAAAAAAAAAAAAAAGGAAGAGTACAACTTAAATAAACAGAAGCAACAACCCAGGTTGTTGCCTAGCTGAAAGGCAAAGTGATCCCTGTACTCTAGGTGCCCAGGCTATAGGTCTTTGCAGACTGGTGATGTGCATCTGACCCCTTAGTGCTCTGATTTCTCTGCACCAGGGAAAAGTTGGGCTGCAAATGTAGTTTCTACTGCATAGGTTTTTCCACCTGAGCTCTTTGAGACCAGGTATTTTGTTTCTTCTCCATAGACAGAAAGTGCAGTATATTCTACAGTGCTCCCAAGCACAGTGCCATGCTTTCAAAGGTGTGCCACGCCGATGTGTGCCAGTGTGCAGAAGGTAAGGAATGACTAAATAGGCTGGTCTAAGAGAAAATAGTTACTTCTACGAACCGTTAACACGAGAAATGTTAAGCCCAGAAAGGACCATTACAATTATCCTAATGCATAATACAGGACACAAAGCATCCTTCAGTATGTTCAGTACCAAACTGAAGATATTTTTTTAAGATCTCCAGGACTGATTTGACAGTTGAATGCAATGTATATATACATGTGCATATATATGTAAAAACTCTCCACCACACCTCTAAGAAAGTTGTTCTGTTATTTTATTTTATTCTCTGTTATCATGTTGAGTGAACGAGTATGTGTAAACTATATCTATCTAATTATAGGAGACAGACGTATCATTTATTTTCTTCACTCTAGGTCCCTGCCCACGACAAAGATCAACTTTCAGTAAAGCCATAACAGAAAATACACGCTTCAGTTTTGTCTGCTACCACCCTATTGCAGATTATGGTAAGGCATGAAAGACGACTGTCAATTTAATTTAAATATATTTCTTTTTAATAAGGATGAATTTGTAGTTTTATGTGCCCAGACCTCTCCTGAAATGAGTAGGGTTTCTGCATCTGTCCTAGAGGCTGATGAGATGAAACAAAGCCGCGTGCTATCACAGTCACCAGGGGGGTGAAAGGGAAAAGTAAAGGCCTCAGAAAGATGCAGTGGGGTGCTGGAGGAAGGAAGTATGGACAACACTACGTTATATGGTTTAGAAAAGACCCGTGGTGTGACCACCACCATCCCTGATGTTACAGAGTGGAGGTGAAGAGGAGGCTTTGCATGGCATGCCATAGCTCAGTAGCTCCTGCACAGCTAGACAAATATTTTCCTCTTTGTTAATTTACCTTTCTGGCCTGTTCTTTGGATGGAAAGTTGGAAGGGCTACTGAAGGAAAACTGATTCAGCAGCTTTGTAAGTTAGATGTTAACAGAAGGACAGGAAAAAAGTGAAAACCTAATCATATAGGACCTTCTTTTAAACACCCCCCCCCCACACACACACACACAAAAGGAATAGAAATCTAGAGGTCGTTGATTAATACCTCACTTTCTAAAAGCATATAGGTATCAGGTATACAGGATTGCTGTCCTGTTGTCTTTCATACCCCTGTGATTTGTGATTAGATATTACACCAGCCTCTGTATAGACATTTGGTAAATGCATACCTGTTTTTCAGTTTCTTGGAAGCAATTTCACATTTCTATCTGGCCTCACACAGTTGTTGTCTGTTGCAGTGTACGAGGTGGAGTTCCTCAATAGTACCCAGAAGAATGTTTTTGATTACTATGAGGCCAAAATCCACAGAATCCTTAAAGCCAGTAAGTATCAAAATGTTTGGCTCCTTTCATTCACCTGTAGGAAAACTAGGTTGATTAAATGTTAGCCAATATGAACCATGTAGATGCCTTCTCTTGCTGTAGAAGGTATACTTCTACACTAGGTTTGCAAGAAGACTGATTTCTTGCAAGGCTCATTTGGTGCAGCTACCTCACCGTTCAGTGCAGCTCAAGGGTAGGTTGCTTTGGTTCACATTGTGCAGCAATCCCAGAGCACATGAGCTCCAATCCTTTCAGCTGAAACTAAACCAGAAGACACATTCCAGCTGCATTCAGTCCACGGCTCCAAATTGGAGCTAGTCTAAGATAAACCCTCAAAAAACATGCATAGTGTGGATGTTAGGTCTTCTGCATCGACTAATTCATTTTATAGACTGCTGTTATTGATCCACATTTTTTTCTACCATAGACATATCGACTGACCTCTGTTTTGATATTAGATGAAGATTTGAAGTGCTTGTTACTCAGTTAACTATTAAGCACTTGCAACCCTCGCAGAGCCGGCTAAGAGTTGTCCACAATGACTTGCCTGAAGTCCGCAAACACAGGAAAACTTCTAGAACTTCAGTTTAATAATTGTGATAACAACAAAGAAGACTTTCTATTTCTTTAGATGCAGTGTAAAGATTTGCACTGCTCTCAGACAATGTCCTTTCGCAGGCGCCTCAGTCCAGCTGTCCCCATGTGAACTTTATCAGCAGCATCAGTGAACACTGATACTCCTCAAAGTAATTTCTGGGTGGGTTGTCAGATGACATCTCAGACTTTGGCTGCTGTGGTATCACGTGGTTGCCAGTTTTGATTTTGGCAGCCAGAGATTGCCCTTAAAAAGCAACTTCAAAGATTTTGAAATCTTCCCTGTCTGGAACAGAATAATTAACTCTCTCCCTCGATCTTTGCCCAGGGGACTGGCAGTGTCACCCACTACTTCATGGCACACAACTTGTGACCTGTGCCTAGTGTTCACTTCCTGCCAGAAAATCACGTCCACACTTTGTGAGTCCAGAGACAGCATCTGTCATACCCAGGGCTTCCCATATGCAGGAAAATGATAATGTACCTAGTGATCAAAACACTAGCTACGGCAGACTACAATGCCAAAATGGAAAGTTTCATTAATTCCTCCAGAAAACCTACAGGATCTAAAGGATTTAGAGCTCTGGGCCCCAATGCATTTGTACTCACAATTCGCAGGCAAGCACTGGAAAGATTTTGTTTCTTGGCAGCTGAGAGAAACATCCTTTGAATATGAAGTTGAAGGGAAGACATTACTTCTCCCATTGCCACCTCTTTCTTTTTGATCTCTTTAAAATCCTCTTTGGTTTGTGTTGTATGATGTAGCTTATGAGTATCAGTAGGCTTTCAGCAGTCTTGGGAGAGGCTGGGAAGGGGCATGAAGCCATGATGATGAAAAAAAAGCAAGGCATTGCATCCAAATCAGCTCATGACTGAACTAGAGTTGTTATCTTTTGTATTTTCTGTGGCTGTTTTGAGTGAGGTTGGTCTCTGCTGCCATCACCAAGGGTAGGTGTGAATTAGTAGGGTGAATTCTCATTCTCTGGACTCCGGCATTCTTTCAGTATCAATCCTTGCAAATAAAGGTTTAGTTCAGAAGACAGATGGAAACACTTATTTGTGTTTGGGAGTCATCAAAAGAGAATTTTGCAGCTGTGCACTCCTCGGATTACTTTGATTATTAATAGAATTAGTGCATGTGGTTTGGATGGCTAACATTTATGCTGGCCTATGAGTCCTTTAGGGGAACAGTATGGCCCATGCAAAATAGCACAGAATCCTTTTTTTTCCTTTTTTTCCCCCAATTTTTTTCTTTCCCATTATAGATTTTTAAAACTTGAAGTAATTGTTTCCCTTAGGTTCTGCTTGGACACTTTGGAACATTATATTTTAATTATTAATTTTTTTTAATTGGAGATTTAGAATTGGAAATTACATAATAACTTGTTGAAGTAATAACTCAAATGCTTATGTTCCCCACACTCTGAACTGTATTAAGCCATTTGTGAAGAATAAGAACCGAGAAGCACCATGGTAATTTAAGCACAATGAACCTGAGGCATAACATCATCATTTTCTCAAGTAGTTCTGATCCATCTTTGCATTCCTTGAACAAAATGAAAATTCAGTACACCATATAGCATAGGAACAATAGAAAGGCCTTGGGTTATATGAGAAAACCTATAGTACTGTATTATTCTATGGAAAATGCAGACGTAAAACAGCATACAATACTGAAGACTGACTTTTCCCTGGCCTGTAAGTACTGTATGTAAAATCAATGCAAGTTTTAACTAGGAAATAGATAAGGTTCTTAGTGCTAGGTTTCACAGATTAGCCTTCTACGTCAAATTCTCTGAAACCTTATTAGTGTTAAAATATTCTACTTCAGGGTTTTATTCTACTCTTAGGGTTTTATTTTGAATAGTAGACTTTCCATACTTGTAATATAATACTTTAGAGAGCAGAAGCTGCACAAGCTTCTATTAACTGATAGGAAGACTGTAGTGTCTTACCTGTAATTTCAGCTGGTTTAATGTTTCATATGTCACCACAGTTGTGCTTGACAATTTACATTATAGTTAGAAAGAGAGTAAGCAGTTAAAATACTGATGTTATTTGCATTTTCTTTTCAAACGGACTCTGAAAATTGTTGTTCTAGCCAAACAACACAGTATCCTCATGACCAGTGGTTAGTCTGATGAATAAACATCTTTCCAGCTCTCATGTCACTGCAGTACCTGAGTAGCCTTCTCTTCTGCCTTGGATGCCCACTTCTGTAATGGGCAGTGCAGCTCTTGCATGGATAATCTTCTGGGCCAGAATCCAGACCAGAATCTTCTAAGTTATTTTAATGTGGAGATCCCCAAGCTCATGTCCTACATATCAGCTTCAGAGTGAACAGCATAAAGGCTAGATCGATGAAGTTTAGGCCAGGTGTGCTAAGGAGAGTGAGTTTTTAATACTGTTTGCTGCATTGCTGAGCCTCAAGACATTTGAATTTAGTTTGTTGGCTTTTAAGACCACTATGAACCTCAGTAATCTGAGATAGATATAAGACAGAAAGTTTTCTTTTTCCTTTGGCTTTTCCTTCAATCTCTGAGATTTAAACTCTGTAAGACCCGAAAGTTCTCCTTCAATAACTACTAGGAGGCCAAGACAACCAACTAAGATAGAAATGGCTTACTGGTAATGTTAAGGGAAATATATCCTACCATAGCATGGCCATTCATTCCCATGTCAAGCCACAACTCCCAAGTGAAATATTACCTTGGCTTAGCAGTGGAGCAAATGATCACAAGGGGTTGTGTCCTGTGAAATATGGTTCTGCTCTTTATTAGAAAAGTTCATGGGGTTTTCTCTTCTTGTGCCACAGCTACCGATGAAAGTATCCAAGTGGGTGCCCATCGACACTTTCTAACACGCTCCGCGTGCAAGTTGAACATAGTCACTGGCAAACGGTACCTCCTCATGGGGAAAGATGGGCAAACAGTTGATTGCAACAACAAGTAAGTGCAGTGGTTTCTGAGCAGCACCGGCTGCTATGGTGGACTGTGTATCCAGAGGATGCTTAACCTATTAGAGTTCCTCCAGAAAGCAAAGGGAGGACCAAATTTCGTAGGGACTGATTCTACTGGCTTTTCAAAAATGCAAAAAGTACCACTCCGTAGGCAAAAGGGTAGCTGTGGGGAACAACTGAGCCACCCAAATCTATCAGCTTTTGTATCTGTGCAGAGCCTGGTTCCCACACTTCTCAGAATCAAAATCTGGGCCTGACTCTACTGGGTTAAAAGCTCACAGCTAGAAAAGGAGAATGGGAAACTCTACATGGTTCTGTCTCCTGCAGATGCCTTACACAACTCCTGTGTTTGCAAAGAAACAGGTTGGGGACCATGGCTAAGACCAGCTCTCAAAGTTTCTGTTATATCATGCATGCAAATAGCATATTCTTCCCATTTCTCATTGTCACACTTTAATGGAAAAAAGGGAATTCATCTGAGGAGGACTTTAGTCTGAGACTATCAAATATTCAGTGAGGAAGACATCTTAAATGTTTCGTTTCCCTGTACAGAACTGGAGAGAGCTAGTGCCTCTGAAAGTTTCTGGGAGGGAGACCTTCTCAATCAAATTGTGAGCACACTTCTTAAAACCTTAAGAAGTTCCCTCTCCCCATCTCTATATGACACCAAAGTGAGTGCTTAAGTCAAGGGCCTGCTTCAACAGAAGCGTGCTAAAGACTGAAGTCTCCCAGCAGAGGTGTAACCCCCAAAGTCTTCTCCAGTCCAGTCGGCTTCTCACCACAGAAAATCAGAAAACCTTTTGTCATACTCTGTTGAAACTAAACTCCCCTTCACTGCATCTCATTGGGGCTTTTGGTGCCACTCCAGAAAACTCTAAGAAACTTAGCCCAAGCTTACCTGGTGTCACTCAAAACACAAGTACAGCCAGGTTTGTCCCAGCTTGGCACTAACACTTCCCAAACTTTATTCAAAGCTCAGTTAACCTGCTGGTGAAACTAGGTTTCAGGCAAGTTTCTTGGCTAGTATAACTCCTCCTGATCTCAGAGATGCCTCAGTGGAGGGATGCAACGTCATGGGTTTTACACTTTCCCATTGCTCCGTGTCAGCGGTAATGACTCCCCTCCTTTTCCTGTCCCCCCGGCATTCAGGATGCAGTACTTCCTCGATGCACAAACCTGGGTGGAGAAAATTCCAGATGACAGTGAGTGCCGCAAGACCCTGCACCGGCAAGCCTGTGCTCTTCTGCAGGACTTCGTGAACACACCTGACAGCCCATGCCTCTTCTGAACCATCCCTCTGCTCCCCACATCCTATCCCTGCAACTGCAACTTGGCTCCTTCCTGAATTTTTCTTGCAAAGTCCGTGCATCAAAGTGACACCTGAAACATTGCAGAGCTGCTTCTGTCGCTGTTTTGCTGATTGGGGTATCTTCTTCTAGATGTATGTGTGTGTGGGTAATACAACCAAAAATGCAGTTACTCTACTAGTTATTGTGTTTATTGTCCCTGACTGGTGAAGACAGAGCAGGAATTTCTGTCTCCCTGATCCATTATACAACAGTGCAATTATCCTGCAACGGATCAAGTGAAAAATCATTGTGCTTCCAGAGCTGATTAATTCCTGCAGTCATTGTCACTGGACAAGAAAAGAGGCCAAGAAATTTGCCTGGGGTAGAAAGAAGAGTGGGCATTCATGGGCTTACCAAGTATAGCCTGTGTTACACTGCTACTGATAGGAAGAGATACTAACACTCATGCTTCAGCACATCAGTTAATTTCTGATTTTAATTGTGGGTCCTTACGTAGGGGAACAAATGACCCCAATCGTACCACAGCAGGCTTTCCATATGCACTTCTGAAGCTGGGACTGGAACTGGCCGAGCATCAGGGATGGGCAGCTGGACTGGATGTGTCCTGTGGCTGACCCAGGGGTCCTGCATGGGCTGGTTAGTGCTGGTAGCTCACTGAGCTCACAGAATTGCTTTTTAATTGCACTCTGTATTCACATGTCTTTCAAGCTTTTCTTTTTTTAGAGTTTAATTAATTTGCATTACTTTAAAAAAAAAAAACAACAAAACCCTGACACAATCTGTGGTTGCATTTTTCTAAAGCATTGTTGCTTCTGTGGCTGTGCAAACAGCTCTGTAGTGGAGACGAAAGATTTGTCAGGGAAAGGTGGGAGGTTTTGTTGCCTCAGTTACTAAGGCTTCCACAAATGGCAGATTAAGATGACGATGAAAAATAACCCCAAAACACAAAACTACTCTTTTCTTAGGATAAGAAAAAGTCTGCAGAAAATGTTCTGATAACACTGATAAGTAGATGGCTTGCAAATACAGGTTTTATTTCTGTAGTTTGCCAGTAAAATGCCATTTGGCAGTCATGCCTGAAGCAGAGAAGAGCTGCGATGAAAAGCTTTGTTTGCTGAACAGGTCACCGTCCGCAGATGCCCGTACCACTGTCTTCATGCCAGCGGCTGCTGAGCACAAAAATTTGCCACCTGGACTGCTTGTGTTACGCTGCAGTAAAAATAAGAAGGGTCTGTTTCAACAATATGATAATTAGTAGGTCCATGCTGATCTGGTTAGTTAGGAGTCAAATGACCGTACTGGATAGGAGGGCCAGTAGTGAGCTTTGTGTGGACAAGACACTACCCAGCAACAGCACCTAGCACAACAGCTACACTGTGAGAGCCTTCAGGTTCATAGAAGACTGCGTACCAGCACTGTGAACTGCCCAGCTATGTCCGAAGGCTGTAAACTCAAGTATAATGACAGCTGAACTCGGGTATCGGCAATGTCCCCCACTCAGCGGCCAGGTGTTGCATGGATGGAGGGTGGGAAAGGCTCATTCTATGAAAACCTGCACCACCACTTCGTGACGTCTGTAAAGGAGGATAAGAAACCTCTCGAAGGTGCAAGACAGACACTTAAATTAACATAGGACAATTTGTTTTCCTCATTGTTTGCCACAGCTTTCAGATTTAGGAAATGTGACTGTAACGCCAGGACATACATTCTTTTCCTTTTATTACAGAGCTTACAGAAATGTCAGTGATGTGGTAAAACCCAGCTGAGGTCAGTAAACCAAGTGCCAATTTCTACTCATATCAGATGAAGAATAGGCTGTTCCACTGACATACCAATTATCCAGTAATTCTGTTGATAGTTATGAAAGAATACCTCTAAGGTTAGGGGCCAAATCCTTCTTTCCACTCTGCAGGACTTGAGTTAAACAGCAGTGACTGACCCTTTTGCTGTGTGGAGTACAAGAGCTCAGAGGTTCTCACTTAGAAGACAAATCACCAAATAATTGCTACACTCAAGACTCCATAAAATGTGGTGAAAGCACCATTAAAATTTCATATTAGGTCTAACATGCATTTCATGTATTTTATTGCATTTTACATATTTTCTTCCATTCTGCTTGGAGATGAGTCTAAGCTGAAACTGCTTAGTGAGATTGCAAATCTATGTGAGATTGCAAATCTCCTAATGTGGGAGCTATGTGTGATTATTAAATTGTTTTTACTCTTATTTTTAGTACAGAGGACCGAAGCATGCTTCTACTTTAATTCTGGTAATCTGGAACCCCTTGCTTCCTGGGAAAACCTTTAAATCTCTCCGCCCAAGGGGCTAGCATAGAACAGTCTCTATCCCCCTCTACTTTTCTGCCCCAAACTCTCAAGCATATTTATAGGGAGAGGGAAGACAATGGTGGAATTATTCTCTGCCACCAAGGTTGTTAACATTTGCAGGCAGCACAGCTGAAGACCTGCCGGAGACTCGGCCAGCACCATGGAGGCCTGCTTGAGGGCTTTAGAAGCATTCATTTCTCCTGCTGCTGACACAACCTGTGATGCAAGAGAAATGGAAACCGCACTGTGACACTGCCCGTAGCGGGGAAAATCCACCTGTATAATGAGGCAAAAACAAACAGGCACTTGGATGCCTAGGACAAGGATATGAGAGCTTGGGGGTAGACGTTGCTGTGGGTCTCACCTTAGCTCTTGCCTCTCGAGCAGCCTCTGCTTCGGCTGCCATCGCCCTCTGCATGGCCACAGGAATCCTGACATCTTTGATCTCCACACGTGCCACTTTGATTCCCCACTGCTTCGTGGCACTGTTGAGGACAGCCTTAGGGACAAACACACAACTCACCACGAAGAGCACAGCGCTAGCAGAGAGAAAACCACGCAATGTCCCCTGCCGTTTAGACAGAAAGAAAGGCAGCGTGCAAACCTGCACCACAGAAAGACGGAACCCTCCAGGGACACGAACATCCAATGTGGTGTGCGTACCACACGCTTATGAAACTCTTGCTGATCAACACCGGTGTCTCCTGTGTGGTTTCTCTACTGCCTTCTAAATTATGATACCCATCCTTTCTTTGGTGAGGAATTAGCAAACTTCTCCCTTTTACAAAGTAATACTATAGCAACTTCCTAGAACAGCACAACGCTGTAAAAGTACGCTATGGGTGAAAGACACAGCCCAGCCCTGCAATCCTGGCACATTTTTCTGCTACTGCAATCCACGTCACCACCGTGACCCTGGCTCTGCCCACGGCCGCTCTCCTGGATGGGCACGTGGTATGATCTCTCTCTGATTTGACTATGCCTCGCCTCTGACTAAAAAAGAGTAAATTAGGTGTTGGATTTCTTCTCTGCTCCCTCTTTGGCTGCCAAATAAAAAACCAAAATAGATGGCATTTTAAAGCATAAAACAACTTGGTTCCATACTCTCAGTTGTTATGACAGGAGATACAAGCCTTGCCTTCATTAAACCTCAATCAAGGGTCTGCTCAAGATGATAGAGCTTCCCACGAGCAGCAGACTTCTTTCTCACCAATTGCAGCAGCTTCTGTGCAAAGACTAAACTGATTTATTCAGGTCACTGGTTAATTTCAGAATCTTCATTGATTTTTGATACAAAATAACTCTTCTACAAGAACCTGGGGAAATACCTTTAGAATAACTTTGGCTCTAAGCAATGAGATGTATGATTGAAAAAAGCATAAAGGAAAAATTTTTTGTCATTGTTGCGGAAAGAAAGAGAGATTATTTCTGATTTGCTATTCCCCAGAACACATCTCCATGCTTGTCAGTAAATTTTGAGAGTCAGATTTACCTGTGCAATCTCCTCACGACCTGCCAGGAGCTGAGCCAAGCTCTGTGCACCCAGAACATTTCTCAGGGCTGTCTGTGCCAAGAGGAAGGTAGCTGAGTGGACATCGGTGACGTTAGCGACGGCGCCGACAGCACTGTGGATCCTGTAATACACCACCCCATCGACTCAGGTAGTAACAGCATCTTTCATGAGAATCTGTATTCAAGAAATGTACAGAATTAGAGAAGGATCCAATAACACATCCTTTGCCAAGGAAGGGGGAATAATTTTTTTTTCCCCTTAGTGAGGAAAAGGTCCTGATAATTCAAGGAAACTAAGAATTTCTTTTGGTTCCTTTGTCATCCCCCTGAGAAATGGCTGCAAGGAAGCTATCCAGCATCACCGAAGTTTAAACTGGGGTAAAATGTTGTACATAGCCTTTAAACAATCATTTCAATAGTAAGTAAGTGAATCTCATAACTTGGATTAATTTCTTTTGTAATAATAAATGATGGTTATCCTCTTCCTTTCTTGTAGAAATGGCCATTAATGATTTTATACATTGCATGCAGTTTGGAAGATCTGTGCTACTTTCCATGAACAATGTATTTGTAAGAAAGAAACATCAGCGAATTAAAACAAAAATGAAAAGCAAAGTGCTAGAAATTGTGAGAAGAAACTCGGAAAAATATTTAAGTAATCATAGAGGAGTTGTGTCACCTTTTGACAGACAAGTCCCCTGTGCCTCAGCAGGCAGTTGGCCTCAGCAGATCACTGATGATGCTCCACTATCTCTTCCCTCCTCAGCATCTTTTGGCCACAAGTAAATGCTTCACAGAAGCCCTGCCAACTTCTGCAGAAGCCTTGCCAAAAGCTGCTAAGCCTTGTACAGCACAAGGACTGCGACCATCTTCCTTCCAGCCTCCCATTTTGGGGGAGGCATTTTTCATTCCACCACATGCACCCCTGCAACCTGCCCTCTGAGAAAAGGCTCTTTCTGATTACAGAAAGATAATGGTCCAAGAAACAGCTCCTGGGGAACACAATGGGCAAACCTGGCGGCCAAAGAGGTCCTGGGGTGATCTCTTCCCCCTCTGCTCTTCGTGTAAGGAAGGGGACAGCAGTGCCAACTCCACGAGCAGAAGCGTTGTACTGCAGTGGGGTTGGGGCCACATGGAGCCAGAACTTTGGCAGGAGGACAGGAGTTGCTCAGCAACTGAGTCTTCAGACTAAATTCTTCAGTCAATGTTTGTCAATAAAA